AACATTCGAAGAAAATAAACTTTGAAATTTTGAAGAAAAAAATGAATAAGACGTTTTAAAGTTCATACCGTTAGGTAAAAAGGCGAGATTTTAGCATTAATCATTCGAAGAAAATAAATTTTGAAACAAAATATTAGGTAAGCTAATAAAAAACTAAAAGAATCATAATGCAAGCAATAATTAATGATGTGATGTGCAATAAATGATTGATTTTTCAGAACTTATCACCACTTTTCTACTGCGTGACTAACGCAGAAAGTGCTATTTTTTGTACATTTTGACCTTTATTTTGGTAACTCGGGGGGTGGGGGGGTTCAGGAACGATACAAAATAAATGTATAATTGATATGTATTAGAGTTAGTACATGTGTCACCAAAACTGTGAGTGATATACTGTGAGTGATTTAAATTTTATTTCACGGACAAAACCCAATATTTCACTGGATAGCAAAAAAGTGCATTTAGCTGTCAGTTAAATTTACAGAACATACATGTTTTACTTATAATTTTTGTGGTTTTATGATCAATCAATAATTACGTAAAGCAAACACCACTTCGCTCTAAACCATATCGCATGTATTTGTAAATAACCTTATAAGCAGGAAAGAGAGGGCGCAGTCTTTAAATATGTCACACCCTTTCTTCCGCCAGATCATCTTATGTGCAAACCGGAAGTCAGTTTTAAGGATTCGCCTCAGGCATGCGCATACTGGTGTAAAAAAAGAACAGAACAAAATTAATATAAGACATGGCAGGGAACAAAATAGAAAGAACCTGACTGTGGACTTGGGTTTTGAACATCAGTGTGAGTGACGCGTCTATAATGAAAAATCGAAACAAACCAGTTACATTTTGTTTCAAGAAATTATTTTGGAATAAGGATAGAAAATATTAAACTCAGTTTTATCCCATCTCGTTGACAAAGGAATCTTGCGTTACAAGATTAATTCAACTATATTAAACAAAGTGACTTTTTAAAAAAATTTGAATGAATTATTATTCTTGTATATCAGACTTATTAATCCTCAGAGTTTACTAGAAAAGTTTGCATATTGTTAGGAAAGAAACAAACTAACTAACTTAGTTCATAGTTCATTGTTTCCTTGTTGCTGTTATTTTTGTTGATAATGATGATGATGATGATGATGATGATGATGTACAAATTCATATATTTTCACCATTTCGAGTTATTTTCTTTTTTCAGCAGAAAATATGAAGAATACAATATCGTACGGCTTGTATCATAGTTTGGAGACCTTTCTGTTGAAAATGTGTCAGGGTTAAATCGTATACATATACATGCACAGTGCATTAACTGGAGTGCGGGTATTAGTTACCCGCACTCCAGAGCATGCCCATTGATTGGCTCATTTTTGCTGGGGTTTACATATTGTGACGGCAAAGACGGGAAAGCGACAGAAATGTCATATTCAGATGTTCGTTCATTGGTTCATTTTTGCCGGGGTTTCATATTGTGACAACAGGGAACGTGCTTTTATGTTTGACTATGATACAAAAGAGAAAGAACACCAAAACACTCGGCAATCTGATTAATACTCGGGAGCTACGCCCCCTCGTACAAATCAGATTGCCGAGTGTTTCGGTGCTCTTTCTATATCTTGTTCGCATTATTCTCTTGTGTTGACATCGGAAGTGTCGATATGTATAACATGGGATTCGGAAGTTTCGGATATTATCATACATATCACACCGGAATTAGTGTGGATTTGGTCGGCGTAGTGGCGGAGGCCTATTTGTAATTATTATAAACTGTAAGTACCGGGGTTTTTTTTATCATATTTCTATAAAATAGTTTTTTAATCGTTTAATCCCATGTTACTCTAATTTGCTAAAAATATAACAGAAATAGTTTTTTATGTGACTTGTCGTCCATGCGGTTTTCTCAGAGAGCCTAAACTATTTTGAATATTCGAAAACCTTGTTAGCTTCGTGTTGGCTTTGTATTATGTGTGATTCATTAATGATGAGTCATCATGTATATGTTTAGAAAAGTAAGATATTAAAAATAATAGATTTATCTCAATACAGTGTTGGAGCAGTACCTCTAGACGCTTGCAAAAATCATGATCACAAATTCTTTAATTCTTTCATTTTACATTCATTATCGTCTATAAATCAACAGTTTATTGTCTGGCCAGTTCCAAGTCAGGATTGTAAAATATTCATATACAAATTTGTAACATTAAATATATCTTTTAAATGGTTTTACTCTAATATATTTCCTAGCATAACTTTACTTCGTTATCTCTCATTTTCTATATATGTTAGTTATGCTTTCATCAATTTTTATCTGCTATCTTTTCAGTTATCTTTTCCGTTATGGCCCTTTTTAATTAAAATTCGAGCTATCTATATGATTCCTTTGTTTACATGACGTCAAAATAAAAGCAGGGTTTCCGGTAAATAGTGATGTCACAATACAATGATAGTTAACAAAATGGCGAACTAATTTCAGACAATATTTGATTTTTGTAGGAAAATGACATATATAAGAACATATAAACAACCAATCATTACAGGATATGAATGTAAGTTAATTTAAAGATGAGAACATAATGTTATGTTTAAATGTTATCGCTGAATTTACTGAATATCGTATCAGCATGGCAAACAAATGCTGTCAATTAAATGGGAGTGGGTGGGGAACAGTCTAGCACTACCCACACCTTTCAAAACAATTGTCCGAATTCTTAACTGTGGTAAGATTATAAATTACCTTTATTTTCTTGTATTTTTGTATTTTCTACTACTTAACTAATTGATGGATGACCATCAAACTTTGTCTTTAGCATTCCTAGGTAATCTTATATCAAATGTTCTCACATTAATTGCTTGGCGCTAATGCTAAAAATAGATAAAAGCCTTACACATTTTCTTCTACTGAACTAATTGATGGATTGTCACCAAATTCGTATGTAGCATTATTATTTAGTCTTTTATCATATTTGCTCATATTAATTTGCTTGGCCCCTTTAAGTGCCCCCTAAAGGTAAAAATAGAAAAAAAACTTTAAACTTCTTCTGCTACTGAACTAATTGATGGATGATTACCAAACTGTGTTGTCTGTAGCATTGTTAGGTATTCTTTTATGAAAACGCTCAAGTATGAAAAGGAAATTAGAAAGCGGAAGTTGACATACTTTACTTGCGGGATGTACAGTAGCCATGAACTTGGATCGTTTGTGAAAAAATCCATTCTTATCAATCAATGTCGTGGAACTTTATAACTAGAGGGGCAAGTTGAATTGAGCGGGATTTCCTTTTAGGCAAGTTCATTTGAAAAATTATTTCCGACACTGAAAAACAGTTGTTTCTGGTGAACGATTAAGGGCCATCATGGTCCTCTTGTTTAAACTTTGAAACGATCTACTCCTCGAAATATCTTATAAGACGTTTTTGTTTGTTGAATTATCTGTCTATTTTTAGCAAATCAAAGTATAAGAGACTGGATCAGGGAACAATTATACAGATCTCAGGCACTGGATCGTAGATTTGCGAGATCTGCCTCGAACGGTTAGGTTCATGTCGTCTTACCTTTTAGGAGGAAAATATACATGAACTTTACATTACAGACAGTAATGAATGTTTCTTGACGAGACACTGACACTATCTTTATGTATTTTGGGTAATTTCCGCATTTATTATTGCAATAGCATACCCGTAGAAACCCTTATGAGGCTTTATACATTTATCTAACTCTCGTACATGGGCAAATCTAGGCTTAAATGGAAATTCTTAAAGATTTGATCAACTAATCTCGTCACACTTACAAATATCTTGAGGTGATTTTGCGATGTCTACATGAATTGTCGAATTTTCATTTGGGATGAATGATGAGTTATATACGGTGGCTGATTTGCGCCTTCGTGTTTTCGCCACGCGGTCCATCCAAACGAAACAGTCAAAAATTAACAAGTTAAAATGGCAGGGGCGAGGAGCGAAAAGTCGCTTATAAACGATTGCGCGGAGCCCCGAGGGGGCGCGGAGCGAAATATATGAAATAAAACGGCGGGGTGCGGAGTGAAAACACGCGCTCTGTAACACCGCAAAACGTCCGTACCGCAAACGTACTAATATCGACGTTTTGCGGCGCATATCGTCCACATTTTTCTGACGTACATTTTGCGGCAAAAAGGCATGGCTCTGCCACATAACGTCCATATATGAAAGTTCATATAATTTTGTTCATTTTGACCAATTATTATAAGGTGTCATTTTGTGTTAATTTTAGCTCATCTGAGTATGCGCATGTCTGTCTGTCCGTCCAAATATAGCTTGTTACCACTTTAGCATCCACATACTCTAAGCAATATGTCCTGAGTTTTCTGCCCTTGAATTACAGTATCTGTTATATTTCATATTGTTACCACTCCAACGCTTTCATTTCTTTTTCAATATTAACAAGTTTCAACAGAATATCTATGACCAAAACATCTCAACAAAGTTAGGTTATAGGGTAAATCTAACAAAAAAATCAACAACAACAAAAAACGCACTATATTTCACCTTGTTAGTGCTTTCGTTTCTTCTCCATTCTTAATTGTTTTATACAGAATATGTATAACAATAAGGTCTTGATCAAGCTAAAACGACTGAATATGTCAAGAGTTATTTGCCTTTGAATAATAAAAATAAAGACATATTTTAAAGTCAAATCATTGAATTTTGATAAAACTGCCATTTCTTTGTTATCAATGATCAGATGTCATTCATACATCTATGACTAGGCGGCTAAAGCCCCTCCCCCCGTCACAACAATAGCTCAATCTCCTTCCCTCTTCAAAACGTTTTGCGGTGTTACAGACTTTTTGCGGTGTAACAGCGCTCCCCTCCTTTTTTTACTTGTTTATTCTCGACTTTTCGCTTGGCGGGATCGCGAAAAAAAAATTTAAACTTCGTCTCGCGCCCCCGCTAAATAGCGTGTTTTAATGTTGAAATGAAAATAAAACAATATTGTTTATGAAAAACTAGATCCTTTGAATGTATCCGGTATATCTATATTGCCTTTTCCTGTTTTCATTATCAAGTATCTATTTGATTACTTATCATCAATATAGTCACGATGTTATTTGATGTCTATCATCACAAACAATTTTAAATAATTTTATAATTGTCAACACCAAAGTCCGTCTCTTATTTTCACATTTTATATTTTAATAAACTATTGAAAAATAATGTGTTATTTATGTGCCATAGTTTGGATGTAAAAGTTGAATTCATAAAGTAGAGAGATTATTTAAATCGTAGGAAAAAATGTCGGGAATTTTAAAAGGTTTTGTTTTCTTTATCGCATTTACGTTCTTTAAAGGTAAGTCATTTTGCAATCAATTACAATTAACGATTTAGCCCTAATTATTTTCAGTTGTATACATGGACCAAACGGTCAAACTGTTTTTGTTCATTTATATATTAATACTATCAAATGCACTTTTTAAAAAACATACAAAATTAAAATGTCAGAACTTGAAACGTGGATACGTCGCACAATGTTTGATGTAGGATTTGGAATGTTACTCAAAATACAATTTTTATTCCCATTGTTACATTTACAGTTTCTGGTGTGGATTTTACCTTTAGCAAGCAGAAAGTTTTACTAGGCAGCACAGGTACATTAACTATGAGATGTGATGTCACTGAAACAGACGTTGATACTTTTCATCGCATATGGATATGGAAACTTAAATCAACAACACATTCTATAATACATTGGCAAGTATTAGCTAAAATGGAATTTGGAAAAAATGCAACTATTTCTTTAAGTCAAGATATAAAAGCAGATAGTAAAGATTATGTTGCTAGAGGATCAACACCACCTGCTTACACATATCTTACATTGTCAATGAACATAGAAAAGTTAGTTTGCGATGATGTTACAGCTTATAAATGTGAGATGTATTATAAAAGTTCAACAACAGGAAGTATTGTACAGTCTTACAAAAATGCCACCTTCTCAGCATATGGTAATTTCATTTTTATTGATATACACACCAGCCAAAGTTATTATTGCGTAATTTAATATAATGCACCTATGTTAGTTTGCGTTATTTCATTCCATGATACAAAATGAGGTGTAAATGTAATGTCAGCTGAAAAGAAAGCAATGTTCGCAATATAATATATTTGTTTCTTGATTTAAAGATAACGCATATTTCAAACCTTTAATACGTAAAAGTAGTAACATCATACCATATAATAAACTTTGGTTGGCAAAATATGTACAATCCATACTTGAATATACATGTATGAACGGATATTAAAATTCGTTTTAACTGTCTGGAACATATTTGACAAATGTGTATAGAATGACATGTTCACTTGTATTTGTTCGTAGTACAAGTTTTCCTAACATATGCACTGTCGTATTAAGCTTTATTAACTGTATCATTCTTGCATGTTTATAAGATTTGTTATGATTGTCTGTTTTATTTTCAGAATATTTTCATAATGAAATGTAAAATCCTTAAATTTATTTAGTTAATAATGATAGAAATGATCAAATTATTTTGTCCTTTCATTACTTCATGTGGAACACTATAGTTTTAGTTTCTCATGTTAAGAGCGTTAGTTGATGGCTTTAGCTTAAGGTTGTTCTAAATGCTATTAGAAATTAAAACTCGTATCAGATTGCATTTTCATCTTGTAGCAAGAAATACTTACATATTGTATATCACATAAGGATTTCCGATTTTTGTACTGTTATATATGGTGTGATGTCATATACTATTTACAGAAATGTATATTTATTTTTACGGTTAATTGTCATTTATGTCGAAATGTTAGTTATTTCGTCGAATATTACCATGACAACTATTAGAAATTCACTTTGCGGGTATTTATTTTATTTACACTGTTATACTGTAAGCGAACCTATTGCGGCTAAGAGTGTGGTTTGTCGAGCCTACAACTGGTCTTAACCCCAAGCGTGTTTTACCACAGACCGTTCTAAGGCGTACCCTTTGAGACCTTCGCATGTATGTCTTGTGTATCAAAACTTGGTTAGTATTGTGACACGTTCTGTAATGTACCACCTTGTTAATTGTCTTCAGCGGTAAGTATTCCATCACATACCACCTCATTTTTTATCTTGTCCCCACCAACACTTTCCCTAAGATCCTTTAATTCTCGTATTAGCCATTATGGTTTTGATATACGTATAATCCTTCTTGTTATTTAATTGATAATTGTTACAGTACTCCCTCCTTTACTGCCCTTGTGCTCTTTCCTATTTTTGTTTGGTAACCTTCTGGGTTCCCCTACAAGTGTGGCTATGTTTTTTCCGGGGACTACATTCTGTGACCGTCGCCTTGCTTTGTTGATCTTTGCTTTGTTTTATTGTAGTAGCAGTAGTATTTACAGTATTGGTCGTCGTTTGCAGATTTTTTTCACATACATATCGTAGTCGTAGTACTTGGACAAATAAAACACTTATGACAACACCGACATGTTGGATTATTTAAGTATAACTATGTTTTGTAACTGACCTTGACTATCAAATTCAAATAGAAAATCGAATTATATTCTGTACAAGAAATAGTAATATAACATAAATATAATAAAATGTTAGAATAAAATTAATAGTTTTGCGTGGACTGGTATTTCGCCAGAAGTATATTTGTTCACATCTGTTGGTATACAATTCACACTTTAGACAGTTTTTAATAAAAAGTTGAAAAAATGGTAATAGTAAAGATTATATGTTAACAGGTTAGAATGAATGCAGAGAAAGATAAATTCACGGGTGATTATTTGTACAAAATCTTTTAAACTCGTTTGTATGTTAACAGCGCACAGAAGCCTAAAAAGACCAGATTCTTTATAACTAGGCATCCTAAAATGCACAATGATTTTCTGAGAAAATCAAATATAGTTAAAAATTTAATAAGACAAATTGTTAGCACACGACAATATTTCCAGCATGTATAGGGTTAAGAATAAATCTCTTTCACTCCCCTCTTGCCGAATAATTCATAATATAAGATAAGTAGAAATGACAGCGTTAATAAAATATTATATCAACCATGTAATGTTTGCAATAACAATTTCAGTAAAACCTAATGTGACATCATTACTTACAAGGAAGAATGGTTTCATAGTACAAGGAATATCACCATCAGACATGGCCACTGCTGAGGTAGGAGATGAGTTTGAACTAACGTGTACTGCTAATATAGGAAGCTTTCCAGAAACTATTATTCGATGGCATAGAACATCTGAAACTTCACCAACCAATGAATTTATTGGCTACGAACCACCTCAAGGTACTGTTGATGAAGGCACTGCAATTAGTGACAATCAATGCGGATATACCCGAGTGGCTTCAATCAAGTACAACGCAACAGCAGCTGATGCCAAAAGGGATAACAATCTGGCATTCGAGTGTTATGTTACTGTTAGTGGAGATCCTTATGGGTACTCTTTTACCTCTGAAAACAATCCGAGATTTTATACTGACGTCAGTAAGTTATCTATAACATTGAGCATTTGTTTTTGTATAAAAGATAATATCATGACCTTAAAGTAAGAAATATTGTCAGAGCTAAACAAAAGTAAGTCCCTTAAACTGTCTTTTAAAACCTTTATAGATAACTACCATGTTTGTACACATTTATGTCATCATTGAATGCAAATAGAAAATATATTTAATGTAAATTCAAAATGTAAACATACATGAACATAGAATAAACTTTCAAATTGTATACAGGATGTATATACTGTGTAAGTGGATATTTTTGCGTCACAAACATTTGATTTCATTAATTAAGCAGGGTACATGCTAAGAATATGCTATTATTGTATACATTGTAAGTTTGATAAAGGGCCTGGTCATATTTTAAAACATCATTCTGTTATATGAATAGCTTATTGTGTTATTAACACACATATATATTTTCATTAAAACATTTATGATTTGTTAAGACCAAACTTAAACAAACAAGCAATGAGAGAAATCAATCTCATTACCTGAACAGTCAAACTTACTCATGTAAGATGCTGTATGAAAACTTGTTTTAAAATGATAGAAACACATTTGCCTAAAAAGAAATAATTTTTACGCTGCGAATAATTTCAATTACCCAAAATCCCAAATATTTCCACGTCGCAAAATTAACCACTTATACAGTATGTGCATTGTTAAAGATGGCAAGGAAAAGAAATTTGCCTCTTTAAGAAGTCACAGTCACTGTATACCTCTGGACAATTTCTGCACATTCAACTACTTTAAACTCTTTGTTAATGGTTTTGTTGGCGTTTGCAACACATAGGCAAATCTGTTTAATTAGTCGCCGGTAGAAACCGGCGACTATATTTGTAACAGTTTAATATTATACCTATGGTAGGAGAAGGCATTAATTTCTGTAAATAAAAGCATAATAATTACTGAACAATTAAAGACTACAATTGTTTTCAGTAATCTCAAAAATTCAAACATACAATAATGTTGCTAAATGAAATGAAATATTCAAGTACTAACATCGTAAAAAGCAACATTACAATATTGTGAATAATGAATTAATGACGTATCCCTATGGACCAGTCATTGAATTTAGGGATGCTTTTACTTTTTCTAAAGTGTAAAGCGTTGCTATTTTATGATAAATAAATCATGCATGATATTTGAAATGACACTTTTTAATTATCTGGTTGTTTGTATCTTATGAGACTTATTCTATTTTTTATCTTATTTATTATAAACAGTTTCTCCCAGAATCACGTGACTACACGCTGTATGTTATTGTTATGAAATCTATTAATAGTAACAAATGGCTGATAAGATAGACATACAGGTAACATGTGAATGGTTAGCAGCTGATAAAGTGCAAATCAAAGTAATTTTGTATGAAAAATCTCGGTATGACAGTAGGGGTCTGAATCTTATTGAATACACAGAGAAAACTAATAAACCATTTTGTGTTGATAGTTTATTGCACTGAAAGGCAATTAAATATTAACTTTATCGTATGTAACGACAGGAATATTGATTTCAGCTAAATAATATATTTTTTGATAGTGCATAAGAATAATTTGTTTATGCAGACAACACTTTTACAGTAGAATTGCATTGTTTTAAGCATAATTAAGCATATATATTTTTCATAGTCACTTTGCAAATATTCGATGATCGGTAATAATTTGTCGGTAATTTTCGTACAACGGTATATGTATAAAGTAGAATTACAAATAGAATTATAATCATATCACTTGCTTTACAAGCCTCGATGACAAGGTGTTAGATTTTAAGTTAGTTTCAAATTGAAGTCAGTGATTTTTTATGTTTTCTTTTATAATACTTTTTGTATTTTGCAAAACTTGACCGTTTATCAAAATTATGAAATAAAGTGCTGGAAATGAAACACACGATTTATCAACTTATGTTTCATAAAGTTAAAAGATATAATAAAAATCAATTTATGAAAACTACACACAGGATTTGTCCGAGATTCGAACTTGCGCCTACTACATGTAGGTTACCACTTCGTCATACTTACCATTAGGCCATCTAGCAGTATTAATTGATATAATTATACATGTAATTATACTTACAATAAAATTGTTAACATTTATCATAATAAGTTATGTAAGCAAACGATACAGCTCCCGAAAATTATTGAGTCTCGGGTAAATATTGCCAAACAATACTTGCTTATTTAATAATGATAACAGTTTCTTGACAAAATTGCTAAGCAAAAAAGATATAATTGTGGCAAGTAAATGAAAACGTGTTTATGAATAAACATTACTCAACTTATTGTTCCTCTTTTCTTTATATTCGAACAATTAAACTGATATTTTCTTTTATTTATGATAATACAATCATATTTCTATCCGGCGACTTGATGCTTAAGCATCAAAATCTCTACTTGTCCTTCATTTAGTTGTGAACCATTTTTATCACATAAAACGCGGCGCAGGAGTGTAATAAAGCCATTTAATAATCAAAGGGCTGCAAGCTCTGTGGTATTTTCTGATCTTTGCAATCTAAATCGTACTGTATATCTGTATGTGTTTTCCTGTATAAGTTTATTTTTATGTACTATAATTCATCTTGCAGGGCACCAGAGTTTGATACATACGGAATTTTGCATAACTAGAGTTGCATCAAAAAATCATTTATGTTCATTTTTTATGATAGCCACACTTTATCCTTGCATATCGTAACGAAGACACTAAAAAAGAATTTAAAAAAAATGTTGACTCGACTGGAATTTGAACTCCAGACCTCTCACACACTAAACGAGCGCGTTACCCCTGCGCCACGGAGAAGTTTTAAAAACAAAGGCTGAATAAAATCAAGTCATTCTAAATTGCATTTCGGGTTTTTAAAGCCGCACAGGCTGAATAAAATCAAGTCATTCTAAATTAAAATTTCCATTGCATTTCGGGTTAGGGTAATGTCGAGGTATTTTGTTCAGGGTAAACCTGTTGTTTAAAATTGAAGTAAATAATTTAGCAAAAATCTTCTCGCCCAAACAGTCCAACATGTAGAAACTATATATTCAACTACTCGGCAGTCAGATTTATTTGTGTAGTATTCGGTAATCGACATCGCTAAAAATAGCATTTTCATTGATTAAAATCATATTCATCCGCGTAATTTGTGAGTGTACATTTATTGACAATTCTATAAGCCAACGCTACTTTTAAAGTTTGAATGTGTAGTAATTTGTTAGACACTTGTAACAAAAATATGTTCTTTCTTTTAAATTGCTGGTTTTTAAAAAGTTTTGAGTGAGAACTACTTTGCGTTGTTAGGTCTGTAAGGAAATTTTGTGTTAGGCCGTGGATGATAGCTATGTATTTACTGATCTGCGATCAGAAAATACAAAAACGATATTACACTAGTGTAATAACACTTTGACGTGACGTCATTTGCACTATATATAAACATAGCGTTAAAGCGCGCTAATGTTAGCCTTACACTGTAGGCGCGTCATTGAAAAATTACTCATTTTAACAGTTTACTGATCTTATTTTATATATGTGATAAATAGAATATTATATTCGTGTAGATTCAATACTAAATTTATTAAACTCGTTCAATAAAAAAATATTATGCTCGCCAGAGGCTCGCATAATATGATTTTTATTCAACTCGTTTAATAAATTTAGTATTAAACTACACTCATTCAATATCCTCTATATCTTTCTAAAGCCTAATAAAACACATCATCCCTTGCTGTTACCCATGAACAACAGGATTTAAATACCTGATAGGATACATCCTTGTGTATATTTGGTTTGATCCTTTGCTATTTTATCGGCTTTTCTTGTACAATGATTTTTGTCAGAGTTATGGTCCCTTAATTATTCTTATTTTTATAGATTTTCTGGACTACTACCCTTATACTACTTGTGCAAATTAATGCAACTTTACAGGATTGATCATTAGCTCAAGTACTTGCGCATATTAAACGGGTTTTCTGCTTAAATGATTTTTGCAGATTTATTGCAATGGAATATAAAAAGATTTTATTGTGTTACCAGCTACGCAAAAGCTTGTATGGATGACTTTTTGAAAATTACTAGTGCAATTTCATCCAAACTTAACAGGAATGATCAATACTATGTTTGGTTCAACGAATTTTGTTAGAGTTGTGACCCTTTAATATTTTTTTGTTTTTTAACAATTGTCTGGACTTCTCCTCTTAAATCACTAATGCAATTTCAATGAAACTTTTGTTCGATAGCTCAAGTCCTTGTGCATATTACACGGCTTCTTAGTTATGGCCCTTAAGTAAAAACCCGTTTTGCCCTGTTAATGATTTCTGTGTCTATTTCTACACAGTAGCTGTAACAGGCAATTGGCTATCATGAGGTTACACACATCACTGATCGAACTTGTTTTATTACAGATAACCAAAGTAGCGAAAGACAAGCAATACTATGAGTACAACAGGTAAAACAATAACTTGTTCAATGCTCTTCCATATGTAGATGGGATAAGTATATTACTTTAACTCGCTTTAATTTAATGGAAAAGGGAAAGGGTAAAATAAAAATGGCCCTTTATACATGATATGTGTTTAAATGTTCCCTTAAATTGAAATATTTATTATTTGAGAGCCGACTTGTTTGCAAAAATAGATATATTAATAGGCTACGTAGAGCCATGCCTAGAATGAAAATATGCAGCTGAATTTTTTTTATTATAGCAAATACTGCTTTTGCGTCTAAAACAGCCTTTATTTAACAGTGAATGTAAACGTCCGGTCAAGACATCCGGTGACAAAATTGCAATTCATAATCGTGTCAAGTCTGAGGCGAATATTTATCAGGAAACTAATGGAACAAAGCAGGATTTCTAAAGAATTTGATAATTGAAGCTTATTCTTTACCTGTAATAGGCAGATCTAAAATACTATTCAGAAGTATGATATCTTATAAATTTGCACAAGAATGATTGAGGGTAAAATATTAAGACTATTCTGGATCACCAGCTCATGACCTGTATGTATGGGTATGTGTTTTATTAATGATGAAATACAGAACATTGAATATTTTATAAATGATTAATGGTTTCTACATGTACAAAGTAACTTCTCAACTTTAGCATCTCAATGTAACAGTTTGAGTGAATGTTTGTTCAGTTTGGTTACAGTTAGTTTTATATCATTTCCGTATTTGTTCAAAACACAATAAATAACACATAGGTTTGTGTGTAACAGCTAGAAGGTTGTCTTCACCTTAACAACAGGTCCATTTTTTCATTATCTATTTCGTTTTGTTACCTGTATTTTCCCACGTTTTAAGCTTTCATTCGGAGAATAATGTGACCAGGTTGTGATACATTATTTCGGCAGATAGTATACCCGCATATATTTAACAAATAAATAAATAAATATATAAAAACAACCTTCATCATTAATTTATGCGAATGAAGTCCCTGTAACGAAATATGTTATTTAGAACAGGCACTATCAATACTTTATCGTGTTATTGTTATTGCAGATGGAAATGACATAAGTATAGCAGCAGGAGCTATCGCCGCGATTGTCATTGGCTCACTAATTGTTGGTGTTCTAATCGGTGCGGTCTGTATATGGCTTGTTTTAAAAAGAAAACGGACAGTAACAGGTACTTTTAATTAACTACATGTAGTTTAAGTCATTTTTATGATTTTTTTTAATTAACTTTGAAAAAAAATATAATATTTTATACATGTGTATAGGAAAATATTTGATTTGCTCAAAAAGTTCCATAAATTGATACACTAATGACACCGAAATCTGTGTTTTGACACTCGTGAAACAGTTCAGTATAAAACCAAGTTAACATACCTAATATCATCTCTTTTGAAATAGGACTGAAGAATCAAGATCAAGATCAGCCAACATCAGTGTCACGAGAAACAGAATTAAATGATCCGTCAATTTCACCGTAAGCCGACATTAATTTTAGTTTTATATAGCTTAGAGAATATCATATTTGTTTCTTTTTGCTTCATGGTTTTTATCACTTACAACTTAATGCACTAATATACTAAATAACTATGGATAAAATGAATATTACACACATAAACAAATTATTACATATCAATATTTCTAATTTGTGTGGAAAAAAAAACAGAAAGAAAGAGATGAACCATGTTGTATTTGCAAGACCAAATTGCAAAATCTTATTATCTTGATAAATATTTTTCTAGGAATACCTATGAACAACTTCAAAATAGAACAGAGACTGAAAGCAGGATGACTTATGATCTCCTAGACGGTATTTCCGATTTTTTTTCATAATTTACATTGCGAATTATTTAACTTATGTTGATTGATATATATTATCGCATATATTTGGCATCTGTATATTTTACTGGTTCATTATTAATATCATATCACATGGATTTTGACATAAGTATGTATATTAAACAAACAATATCAGTCTGAGTGGTATATTTATGTTTTATTACTTATCTGATGTTTTAATGTGTTGTTATTGATTACAAAGACAATAGGCTGGAGTCCTCCGCATCAAAACGACAGTGAATATAGATAAGCACAAACCGGTTCGATGTCATTTCAATACTAACATTATTACGAAAAGACAAATAAGGAACACACACTTTTGCTACTTTCCAAGTTAATGTTGTGAGGATCCATATTTAGCTGCTTTATCTCGCATTTAATGTTCACTTACTTAAACTCCTTAGAAATAATAAGAAAATTTTTGTTTTCATTTTAAGAAAAGTAAGTTTGTTTAGTCCTCAAGTATTGTTTTTATTAATTCACCAACAATTAAAACTTGTGTATTTGCTGGAGGAGCTTACTCAATCCGTCTTTAACCTCCCATATGAGATTAATTGTAAACTTTAAAATCTAACACATTTTAATTAAAGTCATACGTGTTTATAATATCACATACTCGAATAGTTTGACCTTATTAAGTAATTTTTACTGATATATTCAAATATGTAATGTTCGTTGTTAAGTAGATTTAATCGTAATTTTTAAGTGACATTATGCTCATATTGTCATTGTCAAGTTAACCTGTATTGACTATAAATTTTCAAAGGTTTGACTGTTACGAAAGCAACAATGTTGATTGGCCAACAGTTGATGTTGGAAAATGATTGCATAAAGTTTTAATTATTGTTATCTTATATGTATAAATTGATGGTAAATCGGCATTCTGTTGTGTTCTGATATAAACTCGGTTATTGTTATCTGTTTTTGATAGTCAGGTTGCAATAAAGTTATATTCATGCATCATCTGTAAATGGACTACTTTTATTTATGTCAACATTTACCACCTGATGTATATTTAATGTGTACAAATAAACTTTGCATTTTCCCTTGTCACTTATTCAATAAATAAGACCAGCAATATTTATGTTATTTATATGTTTCAGCGTCAGCAAATTCCAGCGCAGTACCAAACAGGTAATGAACTAAAATTATAAAGTTCAAACTGAAGTAAACACTGTTGTCAATAATGTTCTATTAAATAATTATGATAAGGAATTTACATACCTAGTTGTAATGAAATTATTTTATTCTGATATTTTGAATATACCATTCACTTCATAATACCCTGACGTTTTTTAATTATTTATACATGTCTATAATTTCAGCCAATCACAGTATGAGAGTCTTGAACAGAAAGCAGGGGCATCTCACACGTATGCAGATCTCAAGCTTGGCCGTTAAAACATATTGTCAGACTTGAAATATCTATCTCGCTGCTTGGGTTCCTTTTCAGTTATAAATGGTTTTGTACACAATCTATAACTATCTATGATTTTAAGGGTTATTCATAAATACAATAAATATTATGTAGGGATTATGCCAGGACCAGACGATGTCTTCGTGCAATGGAAGTTATTCCAGCAATCCGAGTTCGATCGAACAAACTAGTTGTATAGATGTGGAAAAGAAAATCAAATGTATTTTCATCTTTTTCCTTTTCAATAAGATAACTCGGCTTAAAGAGTTCTTCGTAATTATTTTTCCACTTTAAAGGGCCATATGCATGTATGCACTAGTTATAAATGTTTTTTGACACAATCTTAACCTGTCTAAGATTTTGAGGTTTATTTGTACAAACAACGACATTTTAAACATTATATGGCGATTACTTTGAGCGAAGGGAGTTATTCGAGCAATCCGAGTTCGAGCGAACCAAGTTTATCTTTAGTTGTGTAGGTGTGACAGGCAGTCAATTATGATCTTATCCATTAGATAATTCGGCTTTAAAGGGTGATTCTTCGTAATTATTTTTCATTTTCTCCAGTTTTAAGGGCTAATATCATGCCGACGGAATCTATTAATATCCAGTTCAAAGTGTAAAAATTAACAAAGGACAATAACTCCAAAATAAGGCAGAGCAGAGTTATGGTTCTTATACACTGCACATCTACTTAATGAGATTTAATACTTACAAAGTTTCTTATAGATATCTTTTATGTTTTCAGAGTTATTCCCCAGGCAAAGTTCAAATTGTAAAAATGAACAAAAGGCACTAACTCCAAAATTAGTTACAACAGAGTTATTGTTCTTTCGCACTGCATTTTTACCCAATGTGATCTATCTACCTTCAACGTTTCAAGTTGTTATTTTTTATAGTTTCAGAGTTATGTCCCAGACAAACTTCATTATTTTCAAATGAATCAGCTTTCATGAAGAGAACTCTACATGTATATAAAGATTTTCTACTAAATATATAGATAAAAATTTGAAAATGTTATATTTGTATTTTACATATGAACAACACGGTTCTCCTTTCCATTAAATTTTGTCAAATTTGGGAAAAATTACAAATCTTTGTAAATCAAAAACCCGGGTTCATTTATCCCTAATCTTCTAGATTTTAACCGATCCGTTCGATTTTACCACTTGATTCCCAAATATAAAACCCAAACTTAACCAATTTTCCCTCGTTTTATAAAGTCATAAGCCCCCCATCTTCCCTTTTATTTATTTAAATAGCCAAAATTCCGAAATCAAACCCTTATTGTAATTAAAGAAACAAAGTTCGGTCAAAAAGTCCGAAAATGTTGATGTGACATAAAGAAATAATTAACATATGTTCTTCGTACACAGCCGCAAAACCTTTATCAGGCTCGGCTAACACCTCGTCCAATGTTGATTGTGTTTCCTCCATCCTGGATGAAAACATAACGGAAAATTTGTACCGTTTCATGTACCAGACAGTGAGTAATTAGCTAAATAACCAGAAACACCTACATCATCTGGCTTTTCAAATGTAAACACAAGTGTGCCCTTATAATACATTTTCACCATAACTGTTTGGCAAAATTGACCTAAAACTGATTAGCTTTTGAGTTTCAGTGCATTATTACGATTTACATATTTAGGATTTTTTTATCAAATATATAATTCTTGATCCTTAATACGCACATGAAACGATCGAATGGCCTAGTTGTTAGCATGGCGAAACTATATCCGCATTGTTGCAAGTTTGAATTCTCGATAAAAACCCCATTATTTTTAATAGATTCAAATATAAAAACAAATAAAGAAAAAAAACTGAATAAAAAAAATAATGATTCAGCAAGGCTCTAGCTAACAAACGAGAGGGGAAAGTTGAAGTTGAGCTGGATTTGCGGATCTCAGGCACTGGATCGCAGATTTGCCAGATCTGCTTCGAACGGTTGGGTTCATGTCGTCTTACCTTTAGGGGGAAAGTACACATGCACTTTACATTACAAACAGAAATGAATGTTTCTTGACAAGACACTGACACTATTCTTATGTATTTTGAGTAATTTCCTCATTTATTATTTTAATAGCATACCCGTAGAAACCCTTATGAGGCTTCATACATTTATCTAACTCGTACATGGGCAACTCCAGGTTTAAATGGAAATTCTTAAAGATTTAATCCACTTGTCTCCGCCACTTATCTTGAGGCGATTTAGCGATGTATACATGAATTGTTGAATTATCATTTTGGATGAAACGGGATATGAAAATGATGAGTTATATATGGTGGCTGATTTGCGCCATTCGTGTTTTCACCACGCGATCACGCCAAACGAAAAGTCAAAAATTAACAAGTTCAAATGGCAGGGGCGAGGAGCGAAAAGTCGCTTATAAACGATTGCGCGGGGCAAAGTTTAATAGTTTAAACATAGTTTATTTCGAACAAATTCACAATATATATACAGACAATAATGTACACAATACAAACATAATATGCTGAAAAAGGATTGGGTCCGAAAGCTGAGCTTATAAAGGCCTTCTCCTTATAGATTTACAATGCATAAAATACGGTATGACAGTATATGTGACTTGCTTGAAATATATCTGATTTTACATTTTTTTTTTAAGAAGTTAAAGTCAAAATTGTTTCTAACATTTAGTTATAATGTAAAGCAATATTAATACAAAAAAATGAATGAGAATACAAGACTGCATCATTTGTTTATATAAAATTAAAGAGAAATAACGTAAATTAAGATAGAAAGAAATGAAGTAAGAAGCTTTCAGCAAAAATAGAAAAGAAGAAGAAATAAATTAAATGTGGATCATTCGGATAGTTCGGCGATTTAGATGGAAGTATTTATTGATTTGAGCTGATGTGAATATGCTTAAGAGAATCTCCTGCTTTCTCGGATGTATGTATGAACGGCTTCAAACAGTCTCTCTTTTGCATCATCACTAATGTTTGGGTCTCCATTTAATAACTTTTGGAGAGTTGCTGAACAAATAGTAGATATAGTGTTAAGAAAAGAGGCCCTGCTGTCAGCATAGCGATGACATTCAAAGAAAAGTGGTAATTACTTTCCACTATGCCACACTGACAAAGTGGAGATGGAGAAATATTTTTCTTAAATAGATGCTGATTTAGTGAACTACATTCAGTACGAAGTCGAGCATGAAAGATCTGCCATTTTCTATCGCCTTTCATAGAAATAAATCGGAACAACTAGAGCTGCTTCGTCCTCAAATGGGATTTGAAAGCAAACAGTGAACGTAAATTTTGCACTTTTCAAGTTGGAAGGGCGTTCCATTTATTCAGAGCAGTTGGAAGAAAAGCATTTTGATAAAGAGTAGTTCGTGTTCGAAAAGTCTGAATATTTGTAGCATTGCGTAGATCGTACCTTGAATTTTCGCCTACAGAAGGTGGAAGTAAAGAACACAAGTAATCTGGTGTTAAAGCCATTTTTCATTTTATAAAGTAAGATAAGCATATGATTATTTCTTCGAGATTCTAAGGATTCCCAAGGAACTTCACTATGGAGTTTGTCTAATGATACAAGTTTTGTAGCACCGCACACAATACGAGACGCTTCATTTTTGAATTTTGTCAAGCTCAAGTTTCTCATATTGTGTGCAGTTTAGATAGACAACATCGGCGTATTCCAAAAGCGGTCGGATGAAAGTTAAATATATCACTTCCAAAGAGATCTACGGTCAAGTTGAAACTTCAATTTCCTCATGATGTTGTATCCTCTTCCAAGCTCGTTCGGTAATATAGTTAATTTGACAATGCACGAGCAAATCGTCTGAAAAAGGTGGATGCCAAGATGTTTGTGACTGTTTACAGTTGTTATTTGTTGGTTTATGCCATTAGAAGTGAAAGAGTGAAAGGGTTTATTTCTTTTACGAGAGATACCATAGATTCAGACTTCGATGGATTGAAGTAACTAGCCATTTTTTCAGCCCAGCTGATATCTTGTCTATATCAGATTGAAGTTTCAGCAGCAGAAGCAGGTTGTCAACACAATAATATGTAAACTTGTATCGTCAGCAAAAGATTGATTTTAGAGCCTATATCTTCCCACGATGTCATTGATGAAAAAACAAGAAATAATAGCGGCCCAAGGATGGAGCCCTTGGGGTACTCAGCCTTTACTATCGACCAGTCTGATTGGCCCCAGGTAGGATAACCGCCTGGTGCCTGTTTACTTAGATAGTCAGAAAACCAGTTAAGGTAGACAACCGTTCTATTCCAGCAGCTTTCAGCTTAAAGAGAAGACCTTTGTGCCAAAATTTATCAAACGCTTTACTATATGTCAAAGAAACACAGCTCTAAATTCTTACAATCCGTCATCTAAAGCTTTACAGAATGTGTTGTACAAGTACGATAACTGGTTTACCGTTTTGAGTCACCTGGTCTGAACCTGACTGTACGGCAAAGAAAGAAAGTTATTATCTTGAAGAAATTAAAAAGATACTTAAATATAATAACGTTCAAAAACCTTTTCTATGCAGCACAACAGGGAAATCGGACGATAGTTATTTGGAACAGATGGATCACCTTTTTTAAAGACAGCACACACATTGGCCTTTTTCCATGTAAATGGTATTTTACAAGTCAGAAGAGACTGATTGAACAACGAACATAGGGGAAATTTAATAACTGAAGCAGTTTCCCGCAATATTCGGTAAAGTTTAATAGATAAAAAATTCGCCCCGAGGAGGCGCGGAGCGAAATATAAGAAATAAAACTGCGGGGCGCGGAGTGAATACACGCGCTCCCCTCCTTTTTTAACTTGTTAATTCTCGATTTTTCGCTTGACGGGATCGCGAAAAAAGTTAAACTTCGTCCCGCGCCCCCGCTAATTAGCGTGTTTTGACGTTGAAATGAAAATAAAACAATAGTGTTTATGAAAAACTAGATCCTGTTGAATGTATCCGGTATATCTATATTGCCTTTTCCTGTTTTCATTATCAAGTATCTATTTGATTGCTTATCATCAATATAGTCACGATGTTATATTGATGTTTTCATCACAAACAAATTTTAAATATTTTATAACTGTCAACACTAAAAGTCCGTCTCTTATTTTTTACATCATTTTTAGTATCATTAATAAACTATTCTAAAAATGATGTGTTAATAATTTATGTGCCATAGTCTTGGATGTAAAAGTTGAATTCATAAAAGTAGAGAATTTCATTTTAAACGTCGTAGGTAAAAAAAATGTCGAGGGCTTTTAAAAGGTTTTGTTTTCTTTATCGCATTTACGTTCTTTAAAGGTAAGTCATTTTGCAATCTCAATTACAATATTAAACGATTTAGCTCCACCTTTATTATTTTTCAGTTGTCTACTGTTACATGGACCACAACGGTCAAAAGGTTTTTGTTTCATTTAATATTAATATATCAACCTACATGCACTTTTTTAAAAACATACAATATTAACCGTGGTTCGGCCCAAATGTCAGAACTTGAAACGTGGTACGTCGCACAATGTTCTGATGTAGGATTTATGGAATGTTACTTCAAAATACATTTTTATTCCACATTGTTACATTTACAGGTTTCAGGTGTGGATTTTACCTTTAGCAAGCAGAAAGTTTTACTAGGCACACGGTACATTAACTATGACATGCGATGTCACTAACTCGGAAACAGATGTTGATATTTTTTACCGCATATGGATATGGAAACTTACATCAGCAACACGTTCTATAATAGTTTGGGAAGTATTAGCTAAAATGGAATTTGGAAAAAGTGCCACTACTGTAAGTCACGATAATAAAGCAGATAGTAAAGATTATGTTGCTAGAGGATCATGGGATTCCGACACACCTGCTAACACATATCTTACATTGTCTATGAATATAGAAAAGTTAGTTTGCAATGATGTTACAGCTTATAAATGTGAGATGTATTAATATAAAGTTCCACAACAGGAATTTATTGTACAGTCTTACAAAAAGGCCACCTTCTCAGCATATGGTAAATTTTCATTTTTTATTGATATAATACACCAATCAAAAGTTTTGTGTAATTTAATATAAATACATCTATTTAAATTTGGGTTATTTTATTTCCGTTATACAAAAGGAGGTGTACATGTTATGGTTAGTGAATAGAAAGCAATGTTCGCAGCATATAGTATGTGTTTCTTAATTTAAAGATAACGCATAATCTAAACCTTTAATACGTAAAAGTAGTACATCATACCATATATAAAACTTTGGTTGGCAAAATATGTAAAATACATACATACACTTCCCCTAAGATTCTTTAATTCTCGTATTAGCCATTATGGTTTTGTTATACGTATAATCCTTCTTGTTATTTAATTGATAATTGTTACACTGCTCCCTCCTTTACTGCCCTATGCTCTTTCCTATTTTTGTTGCGGTAACCTTCTGGGTTCCCTACAAGTATGGCTATGTTTTTCCGGGGACTACATTCTGGTGACCGTCGCCTTGCCTTGTTTGATCTTTGCTTTGTTTTATCGTAGTAGCAGTAGTATTTAGCAGTATTGGTCGTTCGTTTGCAGATTTTTTTTTTCACATACATATTGTAGTCGTAGTACTTGGACAAAAAAACACTTATGTCAACACCGACATGTTTGGATTATTTAAGCTAATAACTATGTTCTGTAATGACCTTGACTATCAAATTCAAATAGAAAATCGAATTATATTCTGTACAAGAAATAGTAATATACATAAATATAATAAAATGTTAGAATAAAATTAATAGTTTTGCGTGGACTGGTATTTCGCCGGAAGTTATTCTGTTCACAATCTGTTGGTAAACAATTCACACTTTTAGACAGTTTTTAATAAAAAGTTTGAAAAAAATGGTAATGGTAAAGATATATGTTAACAGGTTAGATGAATGCAGAGAAAGATAAATTCACGGGTGATTATTTGTACAAAATCTTTTAAACTCGTTTGTATGTTAACAGCGCACAGAAGCCTAAAAAGACCAGAATTCTTTATAACTAGGCATCCTAAAATGCACAATGATTTTCTGAGAAAATCAAATATAGTAAAAAATTTAATAAGACAAATTGTTAGCACACGACAATATTTCCAGCATGTATAGGGTTAAGAATAAATCTCTTTCACTCCCCTCTTGCCGAATAATTCATAATATAAAGCATAAGTAGAAATGACAGCGTTTAATAAAAATATTATATCAACCATGTAATGTTTGCAATAACAATTTCAGTAAAACCTAATGTGACATCATTACTTACAAGGAAGAATGGTTTCATTAGAACAAGGAAAATATCACCATCAGACATGGCCACTGCTGAGGTAGGAGCATCGGAGTTTGAACTAAACGTGTACGCTAATATAGGAAGCTTTCCAGAAACTATTATATCGATGGCATAGAACATCTGAAACTTCACCAACCAATGAATTTATTGGCTACGAAACCACCATCAAGGTACTGTTGATGAAGGCACTGCAACCCAGTGACAATCAATGCGGATATACCCGAGTGGCTTCAATCAAGTACAAACGCAACAAGCAGCAGATGCTAAACGGGATAACAATCTGGCATTCGAGTGTTATGTTTACTGTTCAGTGGAAATCCTTATGGGTACTCTTTTACCTCTGAGAAACAATCCGAATTTTATATTGAGTCAGTAAGTTATCTATAACATTGAGCATTTGTTTTTGTATAAAAGATAATATAATGACCTTACAAGTAAAGAAATATTGTCCAGAGCTAAACAAAAGAAAGTCCCTTAAACTATTCTTTTTAAAACCTTACGATAGGACTACTACCCCTGTTTGTACACATTTATGTCATCATTGAATTTAAATAGCAAATTATATGTAATGTAAAATTCAAAATGTTAACATACATGAACCTAGAATAAACTTTCAAATAGTATACAGGATGTATATACTATATAAGTGGATATTTTTGCGTCAGAATTGTTTCATTAAATTAAGCAGGTACATGTTAAGAATATGCTATTATTTTTTATTATTCTATTCAGTTTTTTAATACCCTCTATTATTTTATAATAATCAATTGAAATTATACATTTGTTAGTTTGATAAAGGGCCTTCGGTCATATTGTGACGACATCATTCTGTTTTATGAATAACTTATTGTTGTTATCAACACACATATATATTTTCTTTAAAATATTTATGACTTGTTAAGACCAAACTTAAAAAAAACAAGCAATGAGAGAATTCAATCTCATTAACCTCAACAGTCCCAACTTTAACTCATGTAAGTTGCTGTATGAAAACTTGTTTAAAAATGATAGAAAACAACATTTGCCCCAAAAGAAATAATTTTTACGCTGCGAATAATTTCACATTACCCAAAATCCCAAATATTTCCACGTCGCAAAATTAACCACTTATACAAGTATGTGCATTGTTAAAGATGGCAAGGAAAAGAAATTTGTCCTCTTAAGAAGTCACAGTCACTTATACCTCTGGACAAATTTCTGCATACATTCAACTACTTTAAACGCTTTGTTAATGGTTTTGTTGGCGTGTGCAACACATAAGGCAAATCTGTTTAATCCTTTATTTAGTTGTGAACCACTTACCTTTCTAAAGCCTAATAAAACACACCCCTTGCTGTTACCCGTGAACAACAGGATTTAAATACCTGATAGGATACAACCTTGTGAATATTTGGTTTGATCCTTAGCTATTTTACCGGCTTTTCTTGTACAATGATTTTTGTCATAGTTATGGTCCCTTAATTATTTTTATTGTTATAGATTTTCTGGACTACTACCCTTATACTACTTTTCCAAATTAACGCAATTTTACAGGATTGATTATTAGCTCAAGTACTTGCGCATATTAAACGGGCTTTCTGCTTAATTGATTTTCGCCGGGTTATTGCAATGGAATAAAAAATGATTTTATTGTGTAACCAGCTGCACAAAAGATTGTATGGACGACTTCTCTGAAATTACTAGTGCAATTTCATCCAAACTTAAAAGGAATGATCAATACCCTGTATAGTTGTGCATGAGTTATGACCCTTTGATATTTTTTTGTTTTTAAAATGTTTTCGGACTTCTCCCCTTGAATCACTAATGCAATTTCAATGACAGTTTGGTTCGATAGTTCAGGTCCTTGTGCATATTTCACGGGTTACCCTGTTGAATAATTTTTGGCTGAGTTATGGCCTTTGAATAAAAACCCATTTTGCCCAGTTAACATGGTTAATGATTTCTGTGTCTACTTGTACATGAAATTGGCTATCATGAGGTAACACACATGTGGTCACTAATCGAACTTGTTTTATTACAAATAACCAAAGTAGTGGAGAGACAAACCGTACTATGAGTACAACAGGTAAAACAGCAACTTATTCAATGCTCTTTTATATGTAGATGGGTTGAGTATATTACTTTTACTAGCTCTAATCTAATAAAAAAAAGGAAAAGGTAAAATAAAATATGGGCCTTTATGCATAATATTTGTTGCAATGTTGCCTGAAATTGAGATACTGATTATTTGACAGGCGCCTTGTTTGAAAAATAAAAGATATTATTATCCCTCACTTTTTAAATTGTCAAATTCCCTAAGGCCAATGGGAGTTATTATTTTCTCGATTCAATGTAATTGGCTACGTAGGGCCATGCCCAGAAATTGACCAATGGTGCTGCTGAGGATTTTTATTATAGCAATACTGTTTTTGCGTCTAAATTTAACAGTGAATGTAAACATCCGGTCAAGATATCCGGTGACGAACAATTGCCAATCATAATGGGTCAGGTCTAAGGCGAATATTTATCAGGCAAATTAATGGAACAAAGCAGGATTTCTAAAGAATTTGATCATTGGAAGCTAATTCTTTACCTGTTATAGGCAGATCTAAAATGCTATTCAGAAGTAGTTAATATCTTATAAATTCGCACAAGAATGATTTTGAAGAGTAAAATATTTTAGACTATTCTGGATCACCAGCTCAAACCCTTTATGTATGGGTAATGTGTTTTAATTTTTGATGAAATACAGAACATTGAATATTTTATGATGAGTAAAGGGTATCAAAATGTACAAAGTAAATTCTCAACTTTAGCATCTCAATATATAAGCAGTTTGAACGATGTTTGTTCAGTTTTGTTACAGTTAGTTTTATATCATTTCCGTATTTGTTCAATGTACAATAAATAACACATAGGTTTGTGAGTAGCAGTTAGGAGGTTGCCTTCACCTTTACAACAGGGCCATTTTTTCATATCTATTTCGTAATGTTACCTGTATTTTCCCACGTTTTAAGCTTTCATTTGGAGAATAATGTGACCAGGCTTTGATGAATTATTTCAGCAGATAGTATACCCGCATATATTTAACAATAATAATTATCATATTTAAAACTTATTTCATAATAAACCACAAATTTATGAAAACAACATAATTTTACCATTTATAGATGTTATAAAAACATTTCATTAGGTACAACTTTAAATCCATTAGATATCTTTTTGTGTAAATGAGTGAGAGTATAAATATATAAAAACAACCTTCTTCATTAATTGTATGCGAATGAAGTCCTTGTAACGAGATATGTTGTTTAGAGCAGGCACTATCAATACTTTATCGTGTTATTGTTATTGCAGATGGAAATGACATAAGTATAGCAGCAGGAGCTATCGCCGCGATTGTCATTGGCTCACTAATTGTTAGTGTTCTAATCGGTGCGGTTTGTATATGGGTCGTTTTAAAAAGAAAACGGACAGTAACAGGTACTTTAATTAACTACATGTAGTTTAATGTCATCTTTATGATTTTTGTAATTTATTTTAAAAAAAAATGATAGGAAAAGACTTGATTTGCACTAAATGTTCAATAAATTGATAGATAAATGACACCGAAATCTGTGTTTTTGACACTCGTGAAGCAGTTCAGTATTAAAACCAAGTTCAAAAACCTAAGATCCTTTCTTTTGAAATAGGCCTGAAGAATCAAGATCAACACAAGCCAACATCAGTGTCACGAGAAACAGAATTAAACAGATCGTCACTCCCACCGTAAGCAGCCATTTATTCTAGTTTTATATTGCTTAAAATAGATAATATTTGTATCATTGTGCTCCATGGTTTTTATCACTTACAACTTAATGCACAAATATACTAAATATGAATTACATGAATATTACACACATAAAAAATTATTACATAACCATATTTCTAATTTGTTTAAAAAAAAAAAAACAGAAAAAAAGAATAGCTGACCACATGGCAAAATCTTATTATCTTATTATCTTGATAAATATTTTTCTAGAAATACCTATGAACAACTTCAAAACAGACCAGATACGGAAAACAGGATGACTTATGATCTCCTAGACGGTATTTCCGGTACTTTAATTAACTACATGTAGTTTAATGTCATCTTTATGATTTTTGTAATTTATTTTTAAAAAAAATGATAGGAAAAGACTTGATTTGCACTAAATGTTCAATAAATTGATAGATAAATGACACCGAAATCTGTGTTTTTGACACTCGTGAAGCAGTTCAGTATTAAAACCAAGTTCAAAAACCTAAGATCCTTTCTTTTGAAATAGGCCTGAAGAATCAAGATCAACACAAGCCAACATCAGTGTCACGAGAAACAGAATTAAACGTTTCGTCACTCCCACCGTAAGCAGCCATTTATTCTAGTTTTATATTGCTTAAAATAGATAATATTTGGTATCATTTGCTCCATGGTTTTTATCACTTACAACTTTAATGCAATAAATATACTAAATATGAATTACATGAATATTACACACATAAAAAATTATTACATAACCATATTTCTAATTTGTTTAAAAAAAAAAAAAACAGAAAAAAAGAATAGCTGACCACATGGCAAAATCTTATTATCTTGATAAATATTTTTCTAGAAATACCTATGAACAACTTCAAAACAGACCAGATACGGAAAACAGGATGACTTATGATCTCCTAGACGGTATTACCGATTTTTTAAAATTAACATTGCGAATTATTTAACTGATAGTGATTGATATATTATCGCATAGTTTTGGCATCTGTATATTTTACTGGTTCATTATCAATATCATAGCACATGGATTTTGACTTGTATGTATATTAAACAAACAACATCAGTCGGAGTGGTATCTTTATGTTTTTATTATCTGTTGTTTTAATGCGTTGTTATTGATCACGAAGACAATAGGCTGGAGTCCTCCGCATCAAAACGACAATGTATATAGATAAGCACAAACCAGCTCGATGTCATTTCAATACTAAAATTATTACGAAAAGACAAATAAGGGACATCACCTTTTGCTACTTTCCAAGTTCAGGTTGCCGTTATTCATATTTAGCTGCTTTATCTCACATTTAATGTTCACTTACTTAAACTCGATAGAAATAATAAGAAAATATTTTTTTCATTTTAAGAAAAGTAAGTTTGTCCAGTCCTCAAGTATTGTTTTTTATTAATTCACCAACAATTAAATCTTGTGTTTTTGCTGGAGGACCTTAATAAACCTATCTTCAAACTCGAATATTAAATGAGTGGCAAAATTTTAAATCTAAACCATTTTATTTATTGTCATATGTGCTTATTATATCACATACTCGTATAGTTTAACTTTAAGTATTTTTTACTGATACATATATATTCAAATTTGTAAAGTTCAATGTTAAGTCGATTTATTAGTATTTTTTAAGTGACATTATGCTCATATTGTCATTGTCAAGTTGACCTGTATTGACTATATTTTTTCATAAGATTGACTGATACAATGATGATTGGCCAAAGTTGATGTTGGAAAATGTTTGCATAAAGTTTTAATTATAATTGTTTTATCATATGCATAAATGTATGGTAAATCGAAATTCTGTTGTGTTCTGGTATTAACTCGGTTATTGTTATTTGTTTTTTGAAGGTCAGTTTGCAAAAAAAGTTATATTCATGCATCATTTGTAAATGGACTATATCCATTTTTATTTATGTCAACATTTACCTCCTGATGTATATTTAATGTGTACAAATAAATTTTGCATTTTCTCTTGTCACTTATGCCATAAATAAAAGTCCAACAATAGTTATGTTATTTTTATGTTTCAGCTTCAGCAAATCCCAGCGCGGTACCAAACAGGTAAGGAACTAAAATTATAAAGTTCAAACTGAAGTTACCACTGTTGTCAATAATGTTTTATTAAATAATTATGATAAGGAATTTACATACCTAGTTGTATTGAAATTATATGATTCTAATATTTTGAATAAACCATTCACTTCATAATACCCTGACGTTTTTTTAATCATTTATACATATCTATAATTTCAGCCAATCACAGTATGAGAGTCTTGAACGGGAAGCAGGGGCATCTCAAACGTATGCAGATCTACAACTTGGTCGATAAAACATATTGGCAGATTTGAAAGATCTATCTCGCTGCTTGGGTTCCTTTCAGTTATAAATGTTTTTGTACACAATCTATAACTATCTATGATTTTAAGGTTTATTCATAAATACAATAAATATTATGTAGGGATTATCTTGCCTTTTATTTATTTAATGAGTCCCAATTCCGTATCAAATCCTTATTGTAATTAAAGTAATGTCAAGTTCGGTCACAAAGTCCAAAAATGTTGGTGTGACATAAAGAATTAATTAAAAATGTGTTCATCGTACACAGCCGCAAAACCTTTATCAGGCTCTGCTTACACCTCGTCCCATGTTGTTTGTGTTTCCTCTATCCTGGATGAAAACAGAACGGAAAATTTGCACAGTTTCATGTACCATACAGTGAGTAATAAGCTTAATAACCTGAAACCCCTTCATCATCTAGCTATTCAAATATACATAGTGGTTCGGAAAATATAAAAACAAATTAAGAAAAAAACTGAATAAACAATTAATGACTCAGCAAGGCTCTAACTAGCAAACTTCAATACGTGATGTGTCTAATATCCTGTCATCGAGACTTGTTAGACAATGATATATGTTACAAATTAAAAGAAATACATGTACGTTATTGTCATATTTGAAAACAACATGCCTCAAGATTCATGCTAATTTTCATGAAAAGTCTGAAACTGTATTATTTAGAAAAATCGTGTCAAGCGAAAAACGAAAGTAATTTACACATTGCACAAGGCCTTTTCAATCCACATGCATTGCCAAATAAAGGTCAAAATGTACAGAACTTACCCCCTTACTCTGTCAGTAATTTAGTCAAAGTATGGTTATAAATACTACAAAATCAGTCATTCATTGCAAATAACATGTAGTTGTAATTATATTTACTTTTCTAAGAATCGTAATACATTTTTCTCAAAGTGGATTTTTTTAATATTTGGCATGTAGCTTTATGGTTTCCTTCTGAAGCAGATAGATCACTGAATAATTTAAATCAAAGGTACACATGACTTAATTTCAAGGAATATATAAATCAATCAGTAACAAGAAATGCAAGGAAACTATGGACGATCAATCAATATCACTTTATCTGTTGTTCGAATCCGATTCGATACTTTTCTTTTTCAAACATATTATGAACCACATACCTAGATTGACCTACCTTACGTCCTTTATAGTATAGCTAGAGCTTCATACATTTTTGTATATATGCGCGCATGCCTTCCTGTTTAGTTTTCACAAATTATAACTGAGGTGATAGAATAAGACAGTGCCAGTCCGACAAAAACATATATGAGTTGTATTGTAGTTTGTTCGTATTCAGCATGTATTTCGATAAATAATGAGCAAAAATTATTTAATTTTGCCTTAATATATTTAAGAATAAACGATAAAGATAGGCCTTGATTATATCATTAGATTCATTATGCCATGTATACTAATGTAACTTAAAATGATGTTATGAATTGCAAAGAAGAATTGTTAACATCTGCAAAATTTATTACCAGAACATACTACCTTTCTTAGATATTGTTTGTTTGTCTGTGTGAGTTGATTATGAATATTTGAGTCTAACATTGTTAAATATATAAGATTATGTGTCTAATATTTAAAAAACAACAGCAATGAAGCAACAATCAACTTAGGATTTGACTGCACTACATACATGTGATTATTTAGCATTAATGTCTGAAGAACAGTTCATAAGTTCAGGTAAAATAAAGACGGGCATTTACAATTATATGATAACAGGCAAACACCGAAAAATGTTTTTTGAGTGGTAGCTATAATTGGTTCTGCGATTGCTGCATTAGCTGCCTTGGTTTCTTATCGGTATGATTTGTACCTGGTTTATTCCAAGCAGAAAAGGAATAGCAAAGGGTATTCATCATTTTTATTTGTTGTCGTCGTTTAAAAGAAATAGAATAGAGAGATACAGGAATCCCTAAAGAAAGTCAAACACTGCAAAAATTGAAATATAGCAGGCTTTGTTCGTGGACGGTAGAAGTAATTGCAAGCTACCGTCAACGCCCCTAGCACCTAAGCAGAATTCCACATTTAACATGAACTGCGTAAAATTTGAATTTTGAAACACACGCAGATATGTTCATATGGCGGTTATCATGGGAGCCACGTTAGTGGCACGTTTAATTTC